TAAGTATAACATCAGCAAGGGATCTAGTGCCACTATACTATCGCAAATGGCGCAAGTTGAAGGCTCAATCGTCAAATGGGACGAAGCAGAAATTATTAAATCGGTACATTCACCGACATTGGCGAATTGCGCAGAAAAAATTGAAATATATAAAAGCAAATTGCATGATTCATGCATCAATTCTAGAGATTCTGAAGGGTTGCCTTCGGCCTGGAAATACTTTATCAAACGATTGGACAAATCTTAATTTATTGCGGCGATTTTAATATTTTTTCGCATAAAGTGCATTTCACTGAATTTCTATATAACGTTTTAATATTTAGTTAACCTATGCTTATTTTTTCGTATACATTTTTTGTTATTTGTAACAATAATTTTTATTTATTTTATTAGTCTGTATACATTTATATATATATTTCGCTCGTTATTTTATTTTATTTGTATTTAAATTTTTGTTCTATTTTATTTATATTCGAATGTTCTTAGCCTGACGATGGCCAACTGATTTGGCTGAAAACGTTAGCTTTACATTAAATTTTTTTTTCTCAGCAAATTAAGGTGTTGTGTTTTTTGATTTATATACTATTGCTGAGTGTGTGTACATCAATTACATTAATTAATTAACTAAATAATTCAACTCACAGCTACAGAATTCTTCATATCAGCAATACTACTAGAAAATTCACTAAAATGTAGTTCAGGGCAATATGGAATAGGATGAACAAGATCACCAGACATTTGCCCAGCTACAGTACAAGCTTTTTCCCAACTTTCTGCATTGGTTAAAATAGCAGCATGATACTTTCCAGTACATGTTCCTTGAGCACCTGTTAGTGTTGCCATATCCAAAATGACATTTGCTTGTAAGTCTTTGTGAGCATAAGCTACCTTATTAAAACAAAAGAAATTGAATAATTCAGATAATATCATAAGTTTATATATATATATAATGGGTGTTGCCCAGTAAAGTGGCTTTCATACTGCTGGATAAGCAAGCCCATTTCAAATGTCATTGGCTTGCTTAGCCAGCTGTATTAAAGCCACTTTACTAGACAATGTGCCCAATATATTTGTTTAAATAATTCTTGAAAAATTTTACCTATTTGGAAAAGTACATGTTAATTGTGTTTTTATACAAAAAGAAATCTCAAAAATGTAAGAAAAAACAATAAATGACAACTTTAATCACAATAATTTAATTTGAAATCTTTAAAATTCATAGATGATAATGAAAATTATTTAAACTATTTAAATAAAATTTTCAGTCCATGACCTTGTCATCAATCATTAGTTTCATATTAAGAATTGTTTGCTAATTTTATATATAAGAATTAAATATTATAGCATTAGAAAAAATTCTTAAATACAATGCTAATTTAACAACATTAGTAAATTATTTACAACTTTCCACCTTAATTGGTAAATTTTAAAATAAATAAATAAAAAATTATGCTATTTAAAACATTACAGAAAGATAAATTATAGATTATTATATAATAAAGAAACAATTAATGTTTCAAAACAATCACAGACTAGTAATACTACATTCAATTTTATAATTTTTTCAAATTTTAAGTATATGAATTGCATTATATAATCAAAACTCAATTTCATTTGTTTTAAACAATTTTTCAAAATTTTTCATTCTTATAAAATATATATTCAGTAGAAAAATCGTGACTATTAAAAAAGAAAATCATCATCAGAAATCATTGTTTTTCATAAAACAAAAAACAGACTGAATTTACATAATAATGAAGTAATAATATTGTTAGATTTAATTATGGTGGCAATTTTTAGAAATAATTTAATGTTTCACAGAAATATATTAATATAAGATAAAATTACTTTCAATATAGAACAGATATTCCTTTTTAAATTTTAAATGTTATATCTACAAATTTGATTTTGTAACCACAAAAAATCTGAATTTGCTACTTTTTGAAATTTTTGAAATTTTTACTGATACTTTTTCAAAAATAATTCTTTATTGTTAACACATTACAAAGCCTTGAATATTTAAGTGACCCTCTAGAATTTCTTTACTGTTTTAATTTATTATATTTTTAATAAAATAAACAGTATTACACAAAGTGCTTCAAAAAAATGTTAACACTTATGTGGAAAAGGTGGCAGTCACTGCAGCAGAGGTAGTAGGGCCATATCTTTTAGAGAACTTCATAATCACATTGAGTTCCTATACATAATGGAGAACTATGCAGAAAACAATTTTAACATTTAATGATAATTTTTTTTTAATAAATTAAATGCAAACTTTTGCTGTTACTTTCAAGAACTTTATAATTATAAGAATCATTTATAATTTTGTTGAGAGATGACATCACTTAAAGATGAAATATATTAATTTATTATATTTCAAATTATATTAGGACATTTTAAATTTAGTAACTAGATTGGGCTTAATTTTGTAAACGTGTTGAATTTATTAATTGAAACATTCATCTCAGATGGAGCAATGCTGTTAAAGAAAATTATAGATGCATGGTGGGCTCCCATGTGTGTTTCAAAGCCACGCCGTTTCCATAAAATAGCAAACTTTTTCATTAGTATTTAGTTTTACAAAGTTAGTTAAAATATTTTTCTACTTTAAACAATGCATCTGTTACAATGGAGATTTCAAAACTGAAGTAAAATCTTTAGACATTGTAAATAGTTTGTTATTAAAACTGTAAACAAACATTTATAATTCATTAAACTTTTCTGAATAATATTGAATATTGAGGTCTGAATTAATGTCATAAAAAAAACTGAAAAACATAATAATTGATTGAAACTTCTTTTTTCCAGTTTAAATAAGTAACAATCCATCCAAAACTTTAAGAGGGTGAAAAATAATTGAGGGAGGTCAAATATTTTTAGAAAAAAAATGACAAGTTACATTTCAGTTTCAAATTATAAAATTGTAATTTAACAAATATTATTCTCTTTGAATGCAGATTAATTTGACTGAATTTTGAAAATGCTTGAATAGGTGAAAGTTTAATTATTTAAGCCTACTCGAAAAAGTCAGATTTAAGTTCTTGCATGCTCATTATATGCAGCAAAATGTTATTTTGACATATCATCATACTTTAGAACAATGTTGCCCAAACTTTTTGATTGGCAGGCCAAATTGTACAAAAGTCATAGATAGACAAACCAAAAATATTTTTTATATATTCCACTAGCAGACCCCACCACGTGTTGTTGTGGCTCAAAATGTATCTATTATAAATTTATAACACTTCCCCGTGGGGGGAATTTTTCGAAAAATTTCTTCTTAGTGTACATTCTGTTGACGTACCCTATTAAAATGCAAAAAACCACATCTAAAATAGTATAAATAGAAGCAGAGTTCTTTACGGTAAGCTTTAATCCTAACCATCTCCCTTCAGTGGGGTTGAATTTCGACATGTATATTATATAAAAACACGTGCGTATTCAAATGCAACGTTGTGTCAAAAATTGAAAGTAATCGGTAGGAACAAATGAACATTACATTTTTATTTATATAGATGGATAGAAGATGATCCGCTTTAGTTCATTTTCACAGAAAAGCAAACTTAGGGCGTCATACTCGTAGTGCCACCTGTTGGACATAAAAGCCTTAACCTAGATTATATATTTTAATTTATATGAATGTTTAACGGAATAATATACAGCCTATGTCCACCCTGAGGTTCCATTCTAAATATTGGTGAAAGAATTTTTGAAATTGGATGAGCAGTTTCAGAGATTACCTGCTGCAAACAAACTTACATACATACATACTTACAAACATTACCTCTTTATGATATTAGTATAGATATATAAAAAAGGTATGCCTATTTCTATCATTTTTAAGTGGCGTGTCAAATATGTTTATAGGTTAGATTTGGCCTGAGACTGTATTTTGGGCACTACTGTGTTAGTTATGAGTAGGGTTTCTCAAACGGGATTCCGGTTGTTTTTTTAACCCGGGAAATTTTTCTTATCCCGGGAAATCCCGCAAATTTCTTAAAAATTCACTTTTTTTCTTATTTTGTGTTAAGGTTGAGGAATTTTGCAAATAGAAAGCATAATTAACTCATTCACTGTCAGAATACATTTGTATTTATTAATTTTAAACCTACCTATTAGTTTTTTTTAA